AGGCTCCCTCAGAGGATCCACGGCGGACTCTGCTGGAGAAAGATGGGATTTTCTCCAGCTCCCAACACCCTTTATCTTCTCTTTTTTTCATCTTTTCTCCTTTTTTTTCTTTCGAGTTCTACTTACATTGCAGAAGTCCATATAATCTGCAATACTCCCTTTACAGAATTATAATAGCTATTTATGTGCATAAAACAAGCGGAACACTATGGCAACAGCAATACCGCTCCACTTGTGAAAGTAAAATGCTCTTTTCGGCATCTGGACAATTATTCTTATTGCCACATTGCCAGACAGGACACTGTTGAAAATAAAAAGGAAATAAATCATAAAATCTATAAATAAATTTCTATATATAAATATTTGAAATGACATATACATATACATATATATATATATATATATATATATATATATATATATATATAGTATATCAGTGGCCATCTGCTAAGGACGGCTGGGGTTCAAGAAGACAGATGCAGAGATACAAACGGCAACTGTAAAAGGTGGCCCTGGCCAGGAATCACACAGGCGGGCAGACAAGCTCCGAGCCAACTCCCACGCATATCTATAAACAAAGGTGTTGATGCCAGCAGCATAGCTGATATTTCTCTCCAGGATGGTGTTAAAGTCAAACAGGAACACACTATGAGAAAAAGCAGGGAGTGCATAACGTTAGAGATTGAACTAACAGATTCTGCAGAGTGGGACAGTAGAGCTAGAATGAAGCAGAATAATGAAATAGGGGTTCCTATGTCCTCCAGAAGTCTAAGCCTATAACATCATAACTATAGAGATAGCTCAGGATAACCTGAGCCACTCTAACTAGAAGCTTTATCAAAAAAGAAAGTTTTAAGCCTAGCCTTAAAAGTAGACAGGGTGTCTGCCTCACAGACTAAAACTGGTAGTTGGTCCCACTGGAAAGGAGCCGGATAACTAAAAGATCTGCCTCCCATTCTACTTTTAGAAAGTCTAGGGACTACAAGTAGACCTGCAGATCTAGAGTGAACTGCTCTGTTAGGAACATAAGGAACAAACATATCTCTGATATCAGATGGAACTTGGCCATTTAAGACTTTATATTTGAGAAGGAGGATTTTAAATTCTATTCTGGATTTGACATCAAGCCGATGAAGAGAAGCCCGAATAGGATAGATATGATCTCTCTTTTTTATTTTAATCAGAACTGTAGCTGCAGCATTTTGGATCAGCTGAAAACTTTTAACTATGGTTTGTGGACTTGAAGTAAGAAATGCATGGACTAGTTTCTCAGCATCACCCCTGGTCAGGATATTTCTAATTTTTTGCAATATTCCGTAGATGAAAGAAGGAAATTTTAGAGACCTCTTTCATATGGGATTTAAATGACAGGTCCTAATCAAAAATAACACAAAGATTTTTTACTTTATTATCTGAAATCAGTTTAATCTCATCCAAATGATGTGACTGACTAATTTGATACAGATGATCATAATATTCTTTTATAAAGACTTGAATATTTTGTAGGAATTAAAAGAACAGCACTAGACTGGTTTAAATCTTATCTTTCTGATCGATTTCAGTTTGTTCACATTAATGACGAATCTTCCTTATGCTCATATAAATATATATGCTACCAATCGATAGAATTATTAGACAGCATGTGATTAATTTCCACTGTTATGCTGATGATACCCAGCTATATCTGTCTATAAATCCAGATTAAGCTTACCCATTACATAAATTACAGGCATGTCTTGAATACATAAAAACCTGGATGACTTTTAACTTTCTGCTCCTGAAACCAGACAAAACAGAAATTATAGTATTTGGACCAGAGTCTCACTAATGATTACTTTCACTTTGATATTTTAGTGCAGATGTATATTGGAAACGGATGTATGTCTGAGGACAAGAATGAATCAGTCTTTCAACCTGTGTAGGTGTACACTAAAATTACCACATTGAACATGAAGTGCTCACTTGGGTGAAGCTAAAAGCACAGCGCTATTAGCCAAGCTAAACAATCTTCTCGCTCAGTGGATAGCAATAAGTTGACAGCTCATCAGCATGGCTGATAGGCTCAAGCTCTTTCTCCAGGCCGCCGAGTGTGACCCATCTTACAAAATACCTGCGAAGCAAACTATAATGAGAATATATGACCAGCACGCCGCGGAGAAAGCTGGAAAAGATGAGAATCTGATCGAGGTGACGTGTGTGTTGGATTTCTGGATATCTATAAATGGAAGTGGGAAAGTCTATTTTTTGCAGAGGAAAAACAGTAACAAATGGGCAAAAATGCATTGATAACTTACAGATCTTAAGTAAAAATATGAAATTAAGTTTGATTTTGCAAACAGAAAAAGATAATATTTTCTTTTAAATTCTGGAGGTAGCACACACATATCATGAATGCCTTTGGCAGAATTTAAATTAGCAAATTACTGTGGATCCACAGCCCGCTCGTTTTTAAATAATCACTTTGAATTATCCCACCGTCTGTCTCGCCTTGAATGCTGGGTTTTTCTGTGCTTTGTCATGACAATGGTTTATTGCACAAAACAGTATTTAATCATATTTTGGTAGCATTTATAATTAAAAAGCTTTGTAGTATTTTTTAACTAAGTCAGTAACATTTATCAGTTTACGTTAACACTGTATATTGCTGAAGATATTTCTCCTGTTGTTTAAGCATGTCATGATTTAACTAAAGATCAGACCCAAATGCAGAAGACCAAAGAGGGAGAGCAAGGAAAAGGTTTAACAGGTTTATTTTGGAGATTGTGAAGAATCCAGTGTTGCTCTGGACACTGCTCAAGGAACTGAAAGGTGAGGGGAAGACAATGCGGTTAGTTCAGGCTCGGTGGGAAATTAGATTCTCGAACTTGAAGAGGAGAAATAAATTGCTGACTCACGTTTCCAGAGAAGTTGTTAACTCTTTGATTCCAGTCTGTGTGCTGTAGTTCCAGTGTTTGTCTGATTCGGTGGAGGGCGGACAGGGTTTACCCAGAATGCGATTGTGTGTAGGTGAACAGAGAAGCTGATTGCCACTC